AATCGCAGGAAAAACAATGTCGATGGAAAATAAAACATAATGGAAGATTGCTAGCTACAAGATAAAAGTCAAAGAAAATCTTTTCTTAAATCTGTGAAATATTGCGTAGTAGGGAATAAAGATACGAGCCTTAACAGTACCAAGACGTGGTCACAAAGATTTCAAATGTAGTGGTCAAGCTATAGCGCCGTGATAATTGAATTGTAAAATATAAATTATTAGAAATACTCCCACTAGGCTAGTAATGTAAAGCTATGCGCGTAAAGATGGTATTATAATAGAGTGAATTTGTATGAGATTTGCCAACATATGTGCAGAACGAATCTAGGAAAATTGAATAACATGTTGAGGTAGGAATAAAACAGCAAAATTATTGATAACACTAAATAGCCAAAGGTTTATAATAACCCCATAACCCTGCAATTAATTATGTAGAATTCCAAAAGTAATAAATCGACTCAGGCATTCAAAGGAGCTTAGTCAAGAAATGTAATAAAATGAAATCGTCGTCCTAAATTAAGAAAGATATAGAAGATTTTGAGAATATGGGTTTTTCAATCAGCTTAATAAAATATATTTTGAGGGAAAACAGAGTGAGAATGTATGAAATGTCGGATAAGAGGGAGTTAGGTCACAACTGTGAAATAGATAATTGGTCAAGATGATCAACTCCATTTGTACCTGGTGAACTATAGATTGATGATAAGGATGTCGCTGGTCACTGACGATTTAGACTGGGATGTAGGTAAAAATTTTGGGAATCTGTCTAGTCGATAATCTAATGTTGAAATGTAAAATAACAATAACAGTAAATGCAGTGGAGAAGGTTGCTAGAAGCCCATCTGAAAACACAGCGAGAATAAGGTACAAACGTCAATATCAGGCGAATGGAGAGTGTAACCAAACCAACGATCACAACATCGATTTTAATAACCAAGATAATAGACTGAAGACTTTAATAATATAATAATAATAATAAATTTCCTAAGTAGGGATAGCAATTTTTTGCGGATATAGCTTTTAGTTTCATTAGGAAGATATCTGACGCTGTTGTGATGGAATATTATAGAAGCTTATCGGGCTTCCACTTATTTGAATCTGTAAGTCTATCAGTATTCCAACTGTCCGATCATTTGCAGCCTGTGAAATTTTTTAAATAAAGAAAACAGGCTGTGTAGGTTTCTCAGGTTCCGTGACCATTTATATAATTCAATGGAGACAAATTCGCTTTATAATGATAAGGAATAGTGTAGCAAATTCTTTCACGTGGTAGACAAAACCAACTCTTAAATCGAGTCATGACCATAAAGCAAAGCCAGTCGGGTTTTGGTAGACCGATCCTGCAATGAATCTGACCACACAAATAATTCTGGCTAAAAAAATGAGATAGCATGAGGCTAAACTAATGCGGCGGCTTAATGAAAAAGAAAGTAAAACAATATTTATGACCCGGCACTAAGGCGGAAGATCCACTATATTAAAGTTAATATGTTTCAAGAGTATAAAAATAAAAATAGGTGGTCAGCATAGGCAACGATGAGCTAGGACGAAATAAATGAGCTGCGAAGGTAGGCAGAAAGATAAATTAAAAAACGATCGGTATAAGTAAAAGGGGCCTATTTTAATTTAAAAAATAGGTTCAGATTTAATCAATAAATTAGGAGATCCTTAAGCTGAACAAAATGTAACAAAAAATTGATAAATTCTAACCGAATATAGTAAAACGAAGCTCCATTTAATTTAGACGGTGCAGCCTGGCTGGGCCCAGTTTTGTGTAATTAAAGCGATTCTATCACAAAGTTCATATGGTAAACAAGCAAGTATGTCAAAATACAGTGCTGGATGTGAGTAGTAGGAGCTTCAGCAAAAGTATATTGAAAGGAAATCAAGAAAAGTTACTAAACGATAATGATTATAGCCTTTAAGCTTTGATACAACTAACCTGTGATTGGAAAAGAGTAGCTGTGTTGTTCGATAGGTAGGGTGAAATACACGCAGCCTGGGAGGTGGTAGAAGGTACCGGAGTAGCCTGTATTTGCTGTGATGATAGTGGCAGTTGTAGCGGCTGCTGAGACTGTTGTAGTTGTTGTGTTTGCTGTGGTTGAGAGGTCGATGGTGCAGTAGCCGTGCCTGCATTGGGGGTTGATAGATTTAGGCCCTGCAACATTTGTTGTAATATAAGTGCAGACCTGGCCGCTGCTGCAGCTGCTGCTGTTGTCGTAGAATCTAAATTAGCCATTCCTATTACAGACGTGCTGACAACCGGCTCGACACACTCGACAGATGTCGATACAATGGTGGCCGTAGGAGTGGTTGAGGCCCCTGTGTGAGCAGAAGCAAGAGAGACAGGAGGTACAGAAGGCAAGCCACTAAGCATTGGAGTCAATCCATTGGCTGGAGGCGGCAATTGACTTGGTTGACACGGTTGTGCAGCAGCAACTGTAACTACAGGAAGGGAT